AGGCTGTCCAGAATGTAAGAAGCCTTATTATGCGGCCTCTTAAGATACTATAGAAGTTTATTTCTACCACAGAATTGTTTATTTCAATTCAGAATTGCGAGATATATAAACTCGCAACTTGAGAATTTATTTATTTATTTATTTTCTTATATTATTATTATTATTAATATTGTATTATTCCATGGCAAAACAAGCTTCCATAAGATACCTTGTTTTGCATATTCTACACAAAAATGTCTAGAAACATTCTGAAAATGGCAAGCTCCTCTCTGATTGGCTGGCTTTAAGGACTCTGTATAAGTGGGGGTCTGTATAAGGGTCTGTATAAGTCTAGATGTGATATTCTTATAAATCAGCGCTGCATTGATTCTGTTATTATAATGGGAAAATACTGAACATAAGCTCTGACTTCATGGGTTATTTTCTACGTTTTTAGTGTAATGCAATAAACAAAAGAAATTACAGTGATTATATATTAATGCACATATGCATGTGTCAGATGTAGGTTGATAATAATGCTGTAGGAATGAGCTGGTTTGAATATTTTATATTTAATGTGAATAAAATATACAGTGAGGTCCAAACGTCAGAGAGAGAAAATCTGGGATTGAAAATCCAATTTAAATTTGGTGATAGAAAAGAAAAAGCTGTGAAGTAAAATAAATATTTTCTGCTAATTTTCAAATAAAAGTAAATCAAATAAATGAGAGACATTGATCGTGACACTTTCCTGGCTTCCCACTGAAGCTCAAGATGCAGAAGAAGAAACATTCTCCAATTCACGATTATGTTTGCAATTACATTTTTCTCTAAATTGTTGTGCTAATAATATCATTTGTGATGAAATATTTAGTACAAGTAGAGAAATATTGTGGTTTTATTCATTGTCGCCTAGTAAAAATTCCCCTCATCTCACATCAATAACCTAAACACAACAAAATCATTCGCTTTCTTTAACTTTCTAGTTCGCTTTTCGAGGGATCTCGCACTGCGTCGGGACGCCGCTCAGCGCAGCGCCTCTGAAGCATGAATGAAACTAAGCCAATCGTGATTACAGCAACATCGGGGGCAGAGAGAATGGCTATCCCGCGGGTGGAAGAGCCTTTGGCTAGTCATCTTTTTACTTGCTGCCCACCAAACCCTGCCGTGATACTTTTTAGGCTTTACAGCACCTCTAGAATAAAGTTATTGTCCAGCTAAAGTTAGTTTTGATTGATTCACTTCCGTTGTAAAGATCATTAGTTATTAACCTTCTGGGTCTGGAGGTGTTTCTGACATGCTCTGACATTTGTGCTTATTTATGTTACTTGTGACATTTTCATGTCTTATTACACTGTATTCAGCACAAACTCTGCTACAGTAATATGTCAGCAGCATGTATGTAAAAGTTTTGTAGTTTTGAGATAATGACGTTTCTGTGTGGTTTGTGGAAAAAAAAATTGTCACTGAAATAAGGTCATGAAACCCATATCTGATTATTTCTTCACAAGACTTTTGAAAATTGTATCACGTAGCCTAGAATATCATCATCATCATCAAAATCATCCTGATTACGCATTCAGATAAAACAATATATTGATTTAAAATTTGTAAAACATGTTTTGTGTAAGAAAGCTTTATGCGAGGAGGCGTGAATCATCTTGAATATTAGTGTGTTTCACACCTGAGAGAGACAAAGGACACTCCCTATCAGGCCCTATCATTATGAAGAACCTTGCACAAACATGGAGGTTTGATTTTTCAGTTTACCATGTTCATGTACAGAGACTCATGTGAATGTTGAAGTCAGCAGGACTCATCAGTGGCATCTGGTCCCTGTAAATAAAATAAAAAATTACAAATAAAACAGCTGTGAACATGCTGATATCAAGAGAAACTATAAGCTGTACGATTTTGGTAATACAATTACGATTTAAAATTTACAAAATAGATATACATATACACTACCGTTCAAAAGTTTGGGGTTGGTACGATTTTTAAATACTTTTTAAAAGAATTCTCTTCTGCTAACCATGGCTGCGCTTATTTGATTAAAAATACAACAAAAATCAGTTATAGTATTAAATATTATTCCAGTGTAAATCAGCTGTTTTCTGTGTGAAATATATAGTAAAGTGTAATTTATTCCTGTGATCAAAGCTGAATTGTCAGCATCAACCAGTGTCAGTGTCTTCAGTGTCAAATAATCCTTCACAAATCAGTATAATATGAGGATTTGATGCTCAAGAAACATTTATTATTATTATCAATGTTGAAAACAGTTGTTGGTCTGTCAGTTGTACAGTTTTTTTTTTTTTTTTTTTTTTTGATTCTTTGATGAATAGGAAGTTCAAAAGAACAGCATTTGTTAGAAATAGAATCTTTTGTAACATTATAAATGTCTTTACTGACATTTTCGATCAAATTAAGTATTGATTTCTTTCCTCCAAAAAATAAAAAATAAAATTCTCACTGACCCCAAACTTTTGAACGGTAGTGTATATATAATGAACACCAGGTT